CCCAAACCCTACACCCCAAACCCCAAACCCTCCACCCCAAACCCCTAAACCCTGAAACTTTGAACCCTTAAACCCTGAGACCTTTTAAACCCTTAAACCCCTAAACCGTCCGAGCACCCCGCGGGGCAGGGCCATCTCCGTCATTGCTGTCGGGGCACCTCAGTGTCCAGGGCAACGAAAGTCGTCTCTTCTTCTTCTTTTTATTCTTCTCATTCTTCTTCTTATTATCGTTCTTCTTCTTCTTCTTTGAATTATTCTTCTTATTGTTCTTATTCTTCTTGGTCTCTCCCTCTCTCTCTCTCTTGATATGTGTATAGATGCTCATACATATGTATATATATACACATATGTATGCTCACACATATGCATATCGATGTCTGTGTGTGTGTGTACAACAGGAGTTCTGGTAGTCTAGATCCCAGGCAGTGCTGAAGCGAACGACAAGCTCGCCAAAGGACGAGTCGTGGAGTGGAAAAGGTGCGCAACGCCAAAGCAGGGGCGCGTTTTGTCAAGCAAGCACTGTGCACTCCAAACGCGAGAGCGCGATTTGGTTTTGGGTTGAAAGGGTTTTGGGTTTATAGGGTCTAGGGTTTATAAGGTTTAGGGTACAGGGTTTAGGGTTTAGGGTTTAGGGTCTAGGGCAGAGTGCAAAACACCTGGGATAAACAGCCCTACCGCCTTCAAGTGAGCGAGCCGCGAAAGCAGTCATGTACGACATGTGGCCTAGAGGGCCAGAATCTGCAGAAGCCATACTACATAGGGCCTGTGGTGCCTCGTCCCTTCAGAGTACTACAAGTGGACTGTCTCGGGGATAGTAAGAGAAATAGGGCTTAGGGTTTAGGGTTTAGAGTTTAGGGCTTGGGGCTGAGGGTCCAAATTCACGCCGGGCTGCCTGACAAAGATAAACCCATTGCGCGGCATTCTCTGCAGGAAGTGGACCACGTTGCCAAGGTGCTCGCGGGTCCCCGTCCTGCATGTCTTGCGAAACCCTCAACCCCAGGCCCTTTTTGAGGGAAGAGGAAAACAAAACCCAAACATCTACTGATGAGAAAGAACGAAACACAGGCATTCCAGTCCTAGTCCTATATAGTTCCTAAACCGCAAGCCCTAGGCCCCAAACCCCAAACCCCAAACCCCAAACCCCAAACCCCAAACCCCAAACCCCAAACCCTAACACCCTGAACCCTAAACCCTGAACACTAAACCCAAAACCCAAAACCCTAATGCACCAACCCCCCCCCCCCCCCCCCCCCCCCCCCACCCCCAAATCACAGGCCGAAAAGCCACACACCTTCCCTCCTCTATCAGCTCTACGCCCGTAGCGTTTAGGGTTTGGGGTTTGGGGTTTAGGGTTTAGGGTTTAGGGTTTAGGGTTTAAGTTTTAGGGCTAATGGTTTAGGGTTTAGGGCTTGAAAGGTTTAGGGTACAGGGTTTAGGGCTTAGGGCTTATCAGGTTTAGGGTTTAGGGTTTAGGGTTTAGGGTTTAGGGCTTAGGGATTCGGGTTTAGGGCGTAGGGTTTTGGGGGCTTGGAGGGTTCAGGGTTTACTCTCGAGGGGTCGATGTGAGGATGTTTAGGACTAAAGCGCTCAGGGTGCAGGGCAGAGGGGGTCAAGGGTTTAGGGCTTAGGGCTTAGGGTTGGTTTGAGGAGTACTTCAGGTCTTCAGGAAGGAGGGTGCATATGGGGATCGGCCAGAGACATATATGGGGTAGGGTACAAGCCGGTACACGCTAGGACGCTAAGGAGCCTTGGAAGATACGACTGCAAACACAAACCTGTTAGGCTTGAGAATCGCATCTTCACTCCAAAGCCCTAAACCCTAAACCCTAAACCCTAAACCCTAAACCCTAAAACCGCTGGTAGCCACTAGCAGACGCCTCGTAGGTTCCACCAAGGAGGCTGGCCATCGCCCCGGCAGTGCCTAGCTTCGGGTTTAGGGTTTAGGGTTTAGGGTTTAGGGTTTAGGGGTTTAGGGGTTTAGGGGTTTAGGGGTTTAGGGGTTTAGGGCTTTAGGGGTTTAGGGGTTTAGGGGTTTAGGGCTTTAGGGGTTTGGGGGTTTAGGGGTTTAGGGGTTTAGGGCTTAGGGGCTTGGGGCTTAGGGTTAGAGTTTGGGGTTCAGCAGCTCCGGCCCCGTCTCTAGTCGAGCTCTTGGTGTCGACACAGATGAAACCCCGCCCAAAGAACCCCACGACATTAACCCCCTGTCTCTAACAGTCCTTTCAATACGGAGTATAGTAACCCCGTACTATAATCCCTGTTAAGGACTGTCCCCTAAACCCTGAACCCTGAACCCTAAACCCAAACCCTGAACCCTGAACCCTGAACCCTGAACCCTGAACCCTGAACCCTAAACCCTAAACCCTAAACCCTAAACCCTAAACCCTAAACCCTAAACCGAGGTGCGGGTGGTGGCTGAGGAGCACTGGATGCTGCAGCTTGCTTGCCGCGCGAGATGGCTGCTGGGGTCAGCTCCCTGTACTCGGAGAGAGCGTTCTGGTACCTGGGCGTGGGCTTGCCAAGTTTAGGGTTTAGGGTTTAGGGTTGAAGGGTTTAGGGTTTGGGGCTTAGTTGTTAACTTGCTTAACTGGCTGTGGCAGCCTCCGCCCTGAAATTTGACTTGCAAGAAGTGTTTTTGAGTGTGTGGGGCTGGTGAGCAGTTGGTTTTGGGGGCCAGGCCAGGCTTGAAAACACTTCCGGACTGCGCAGATACGAATTTTGCTCTGTAGACTTCCATTGTGAGTTGTGAGGATGCTATTCTCCAACTGTGCTCTTAAACTTAAAGCTACAGGCTAGAGTGCAAGAGTGCGCAAGGGCGAAAGGCAAGAGGAATCTCAATGAGTTGATCACATCCTGACTGGTCCAGGATTCAGGATGCAGAAGGAAGCAAAGCCGTAGAGTGATTGCTTCTGTGACAGGGGGGGGGGGGGGGGGGGGGGGGGGCATCAAAATGTACGCAGGGACTGAAAGCCTCGTCTCATGAGATGGCGGGTTTTCGTCTAAAATGAACTAGGATATGCAGCCGGGAACCCCAAGAAACAGGACCAAGCCTATGAGTTCCGATACTTCCTTGAGCTACACGAATCATGCATGAGCCTGTTGCACTGCAAGACTTTGCAGATGTTGCGTGAGCTCAGCGATGATCGATGGTCTGGAACTTATGCCTTGCACCACCTCGGCCCGGCCCCGACAATCTCGGCTCAATGGCCTCATGCCCCAAAGTGCTCCAAACTCCAAGGTTTCGGATTGTGCAGTGTTGACCAAAATAGGGAACGTGAGCGTGAGGCGTGAGCTACTGTTGTCGATCCTTGCGTGATGAGTCTCTAGTCATTGAGACGCAGGAGCCCCAAAGTAATAAAACGCCAAAAACTCTTTCCTGCTCGACACCTCGACCTCGATGCGGCCGTGGCTTTCGGAAATTTCGCCCGATGCTGAGAAGGTGGGAATTTAGGGTTTAGCAGGGCTGGCCAGCATTTTCACAGTTGGACAGTTCAGGGGTGGTGGATTTTGAGGTTCCCAAACAGGGTTTTAGGTTCTGAGATGTTCAATACTTCAGGGGTTGGGCCAATGCGGTTGCAGCTGCAAGGCTTTGGCTGCAGGTTTTCGGGCTTTTTGTGAGGGGGGGGAGCTGATTTCATCTTTGACATCTTCGACTTGAAAACTTCAGGATTGCGCGGCTGGACGCTCCGGCTTGCTTGGGGGGACTTCGGGTGATAATTGTATGCTCGGGGCAAGGCAGGAGGGGTTTGCGGCTGGAGCTTCAGGCTCCGGCTGCTGGGGTCGGGGGCGGTCAGCGCAGGACATTGCCGATGGACCAGGGCAGGCGCGTGGTTTGGGCTCAGCGTGCGGCTGGAGTTGAAAAACTCCGGCTGCATGCACGGCTGGAGCTGCAAAGCTCCGGCTGCTAGGTGCAGGTGCGTGGTTTGGGCTCAGGACAGGCCTTAAATTGCAAGCGGGTCCCCTGGGTGTGCTTTGCCGATATGGGGATTGTGGCACTTAGTGCTTATTCTGAAATCAATTTGAGGTCGGTCAGAGGCTTTAGGGTTTAGTTTAGGGTTGTTAGTTTAGGGTTTTGGGACAGTTTCGGCTCTCCGTTGTGGTTTTTCCTTAGGATTTTGGCTAGTCTTAAGATAGGGGGATAAAAAACATAAATATAAGTGCGAGATATCTGCATTTTTGGGGTTTTTAGGGTTTAGGATTTAGGGTTTTAGCGTTTAGGAGTGGGCAACCCGGATTTTCTGGGGTAGAACAGGTACGGTTTAGGCGGTTTTAGGGTTTAGGTGTAGCGTGTCAAAGTGAAGGCCGCTGGTTTTCTACACTGAATAAGTGACTACAGAATACCAAAAAAACCTTACATATCTACATATCTACACATACTTATATACATACATAAATATATATACACATACATACACAACAATAGGGGTTGTGCGGCTGGAGCTGCGTAGCTCCGGCTGCCAGACCTAGATTCAGGGGGATAGGGTCAGGGGATTGCGCAGCTGGAGTTGCACATCTCCGGTAAGCTATTGTAGGACTTGGTGCTTCAGGTTTTTCAGGTACAGGGGTGTTGGTTGCATGGTCTATACTTCTTCTAGGCCCCTGCACTCTCCTTCTCCGACTCCTGACCCTATATGTTTAGTAACAGCCCTCAGGCCCAAGCCAAACCCCGAAAAAAAAACCAAGCCTTTAAAAACCCAACCAAACTCAGGCAAACAGCTTGTATCTAGAGCCCCCCCCCCCCCCCAGATGCTTTTCAGTTCTCACCTGACTGAAGCCGACCTCATTTGACACTAACCTGAAACTGACCTCAAATGGCCCTCAAATTGACCTCAAATTTTTCCCGCTATCCTTGTCTCAGAGCCAATCTTATCAGAATGTCTCCGAACTGATTCCTATGTCTATAATTATGACCCTACTGTACCCCTGAATCTAGGCCTAGCAGCCGGAGCATTGCAGCTCCAGCCGTGCATGCAGCCGGAGTTTTTCAACTCCAGCCGCACGCTGAGCCCAAACCACGCACCTGCACCTAGCAGCCGGAGCATTGCAGCTCCAGCCGTGCATGCAGCCGGAGTTTTTCAACTCCAGCCGCACGCTACTGGCATCGTTGGTCTGCGCAGGACCGTTGGGTTTTAAGATGTGCGGGCTGAGTCAAGCCACAATCCCCATATCGGCAAAGCAGGGGACCCGCCTGCAATTAAGGCGTGTCTTTGTGATGGCCCACTACTGGCATCGTTGGTCGACGGGGGACCGTTGGGTTTTAAGATGCGCGGGCTGAGTCGTATAATGCAAGTCCCGCCTTGGACAGGAGGCTTAGGGGTTTGTGCGTGTGTCTGAGAGCTGAGGTTGAAGGGGTCTGGAAGTTGAGTTAGTCGAAATTTTAAGGATCTGTAGACAAAGACCCAAGCTGGGGGATCTGAGGTTTATTGGGGCATGGCCGGTCGAAGGCCGCCAACTTCAGACAACCCGCCCGCGAATGCGAACTCACAAGTTGTTAGCCCCAAGCCTCGAATCCAGCCCCAAACCGCACGCAGGGGATGGGTTGTTGGCCTTCGGTGCTTTTGGGGATCGGGGAATTTGAGGGTTGTGGGTTTCTGATTGAATCCCAAATAACCTTTTGAAGAGGACCTGATCGTTTTGGGAAGCACTACATGTCCCAGCAAGTTCGGAATGGCCTGAAATCCCGGCAAAATTCAACCCCATGAACAATCTACATGAGGCTTCACAAATAGTGTCGGCCTGGCATCCTCCTAATTAAGCTAAGCCTTCTGACAGACTGCTGCAGAGTTCAGAGCCAGCCGCCAGCGAAGCAATTCGAAGTCAACCGTTGAGAGATTGGAGTAAAGGTTGGGCTGCGGGGGTCGGGGGTTGCTATCTGTTGTCCTCCATGCAGCCTCTTCAAACGTTTTCAGATTTGGGGCTGGGGAGCCCAGCGGAGGCATGGATTCGGCCCCGAAATCCAACTCTAAATACTGAGCAACCACTGCTGACCTCCCCAATATGATCCCCAAAGCCCCGAAGCTTCAAAACCTCAATTGAAGTCCGTCCTGCTCACCTCAAATCTGAACCTGCAGCCCCACTTTAAGATTCAGGGCGACATGTTGACAAATCATTTAAAGATTGGCGCAGGGCAGACCTTGCTTTGAGACATAGAGGTTCGTTACAGTGCACAATGGCGGTTCACTGGCGTCCTGGGGCCCCTGCTAAACACACTGCAGACCCGTGGCCCTTCACTCCACACACTTTTACACACAGACACACACATGCATTTACCTGTCACATGTTTTCAAACTTGAAATAATCTACTCCGCGTCTCACCCCCCTGTGCATTTGATGGTTCGCACGAAGAACAAGACGGCGGCGGAGAGGAGGGCGCAGCCGTCTGGCGTCGACCGGACTGAGCGCCGGGAGCAGGCTGGGCAGGGGGAGACTTGTGGGAAGGGTGTGTCTTCTATCTACTGGGCACAGCCTGTGGAGCCCTTGGACTTCACTCCTTGACCCTATACTATGGCCCTTGAAACCTACACCCTCACAACAAAAACAGCCCATTCTGCGGTTGCTTGTTCCTGAAGGACCGGATGAGGGATGATCGCATCGACCTTGTGGAGGAGCAGCTGTCAGAGGTTCAGGGTCAGGTGGAGGGCAGCATCAAAGAGCGCCTCAGCGCCATCGAGAGGGAGATCTCTAAATGCCTCACAGCTGAGAAGTTGGAGGAGCGGCTGAGTGACCATACACGGCACAGCAGCCAAGCTGTGACAGAGTTTCGTGGGTGCATTTGTCTGCTTTTGTTTTTGGTCAATTGGTCTTTGAACTTATGATAGGCAAGCCTAATTTTATCTTTGGGGCTTAGCCTGAGGATGATCGGTGAGCAGATTGAGAAGTTCAAGAGCAAAGTCACCCAGGCAACCTCAGAAGCCATGACCGAGTCTCTGAACGAGATGCGCCAGAAGATCTCCGTCAAGATTTGCGCTGAGCTGCTTCCAGCGCTGAAGCAGGACGTCATGCAGGAGGTGCACTATAGATCCCGTATGGGGGCCCCTTTCTTTATGCCCCTTATAATGATCATGGTAAATTCCAATGAGGGTTCGCCATGTTGAGCAACTCACAGGTGAAGCAGCAGATGCAGGTGGAGATATCAGAGGCAAAGCAGCAGATGCAGGCAGAGATGACGCAGAAGATGCGGGCAGAGATGAAGCAAGAGGTTCAGCGCCTGGTGGAGGCGGCAAGGCTGGAGCATGCAACGGCGGATCAGGAGGCTGAGGCTGTAGCTGCTACTTCATGGCAGCCTGGCCCAGCGGACACGAAGCGCGCTGAGGATCGGGGCTGATCTTCTCAAGTTATTTGGCCACCAGGTTTTTCGTTGCATTTGGTCCAACACCAAATCCAGTTAAAACAAGATCTATTATTCCATTCACTCACCCCTGCAGGAGATGATCCACTCTTTCCGCCGGCTTGAGGACGGCGTCAATTTGTCCAACTTGCTGCGATGGTTTCAGGTTGGTAGCA